TATTAGAATAAGATGATATATAAAAATGAAATGAAGCTATAATGTACTGTATATTTAATGGTAGCTATGATCAGTTGGCATTAGCAATATATTAGCAAGGATGACGTGCGGTGAGTTGATATTTTACTAAACTCACTGACACAACCGGTGGCTAAGAGTTTAACAGTAAGAGCTGGCGCCGGACAGTCGTCGGAGAAGAAAGGTTGCGCGGCATAATCGGCAAATGAAAGACTGATAATAGCAACAGACGATGGCTTCAGTATGGTCAAGGACACCCAGGCAAACAGAAAAGCAAATATATCTTTAAACGTATACTTAAGATATATGTATTCGCCGCCAGATTTTGGAATGATTGTGCCAAGTTCAGCGTAACACAGAGCACCTACGAGTAGTAAAGTTAAACACAAATACATACATGCATATTATTATTGACATTAGTTAGAGAAAGCAAAATTAGCAAAATCACAAATAGACACTGGGAAGGTACAGAGTAGATGTTCAGTATACAAGAAAACTCAAATTGAATGGGTTTTTTAAAAGCCGTTGCAGTTACCTTGCCCGCATAATTTTGAAATTCATTCCCTCTGTACATTTGAAATTTTAATCGAATTAATACTTTTATTTTAGTAAAAGTACATTCACACAAACCAAGCAACTCATATAGAATGTTATTGGTTAATAGGAAAAAAAAAATACATTTGTTAGTATTGTTAGCATTAGAAAACACCACATGCTATTTTTATTATGGTTTAATATTTTGTGCAATATTAAATGAAACTGAAATACTGTAGTAGTGAGTAATAAATAAACTTATATATATATATATATAGCATAATAACATGCCATTTTAAAATATTCAAGCAATTAGTAACAATAATTAGTTAATTCATATGCATAATTTGTAATTAATATAACAATAAATGAATTTGTAGTTTGGAACTGTTGATGCACATATCAAGGTCATAACATAACATAAACAAACATAATACACAAGGTTTATGTCGATAAAAATGGACATACACAGTTGGAACTACGAATTGGCTAATTAAATCAGTAAATTGTTAACTGAAAGTAATATAACAATTAAATGTATTTGTTTACTGAAAGAAAAAGAGTTATTAATGTAGCAACATTAATATTCAAATTCAAAATCAATGTAATGAGGTACTGGAATTTACACCTGATAACCTGACCAATTTCCTTGTCAGTAATAACACATATTATTGTTATTGATTTCTAAATTATAATTCTATGTATTAATTCTTTTTCAAGGGTCTCTGCTTAAAAGATGCTTTATTTGAGTTTCCTTTTCCATTAATCTTGAAAAAGAAATGTATATTTTGTTTGTTTTATTATTATGGAATAAAAGTTTACTTACTTACAATCCACCTCAAATAAAAGGAAACCTTTAGAACCAAAAATTGTCCCCTTATTAGGGATGTACCCTGAATTGGGATTTGCTGTAGATATTTTCCCTCAATTCACAGCCAAAATTTACTGTACCCTTTACAGTTTGGCTTCCATACAATCGCTACATGCTATCGCTGACAGCTTTCAGCAATGCCTATTGGTCGGTCGAATCGGGGAGCCTTCCTGACTGCATCCAGGACTGCTACGTAGTAGAACGATTGCGGTGACACACTGTAGCCAGAGTGTAGCAATTTCAAAGGACCAGGCTTAACAGAGGTGTCCCCGAGAAGGGGGTTCTACAGTACTGTATCTGACTCAATGCTTATTGTGTGTGTTAATTAGACAGGACCTTTTATCTTGTTTACCAAACTTATTTTTGAAACGTTGACAGAAGGCATAACAAAAAAAATTATTCTCAGGGTATCTTCACACACACGGTGTAAGGCTGGCGTAGCGTACGCCTTTGTTTGTATACTAGGCAGTGGCGTTACTTACGCCACTCACAATGCCACCTCCTTGGCGTTATTAACGCTACCTGCAGACCACAGATTAGTTAATGCCACGGAACTAACGCCAGTGATGCTTCAATGATTTGACCTCATTTCAAGAGATTGACCAATCACGATTGCAATAGATTAGTTACTTTGATCCCTTTCCTGTGCGCTCTATAAATGAAATGGTAAAAGGGTTCTCTTTCTATTGAATTATACTTTAGTTTGCAATGAATATGATTTGTTGATTGTGTTTTGTAAGATATTTTAACCTATTAAGACTGTCTATTAAATCCTGCAACACCAACAATTGTTCCATAATGCTAGCTGAAAAATCAGAAGTAAAATTTTTCATTTAAAACACAGGAATTATATAAGTTCGCTTCCAACAATTTACAGATTTAAAAGTTTTGATGATGCACTGTAAATATTTTACTACAGTTAAGAACCCGTACATTATTTAAGACTTAAAACTATTCCCCCATAGGCCTATATTACTAATAGTTTAACGACAGCGTTAATAGAGCGAACGCTGTTTGTGTGAACACTTTTGGAATTTTAATCCATGGATTAGCTTACGCTGGGGTAAGCTACAGTACACCAATCTTACACTGTGTGTGTGAACGTAGCCTCATTTAGCAAACAATTTTTAACAAAAGCATCTAGGCAGAGGGAAAAAATAGAAATAAAATTTTATTGGTGAATAAAAAATGCAAGTGTGCGGGGTAAACAAAGTAATATAGGATGCTCCACTCGATAGAGCGTGGTCATAAAAATGATGTTTTTATGTAAATAGATCTGTAATTGTATTGATTATACATGAATAAATGAATTTATTGAATTCTTAAGAAATAAAGATGTTTTAGTGGTGACAAAAACATTTTTATTCCAATTTTGTGGTTGGTGGGCTAACATGCAAAAAAATGAAATTTTATTTCTCTTTAGAATTATCACGATCGACAGGTGGTGGGTTTGCAAAACAAGCTATTAACAAAAAATATTTCCTATAAAAAAAAACGCTGCAACTTCTGTAGCTTATTCAATTTATGTATACAGCTACTTCCAAATTTATCCTATGTGTAAATTTTGTTATCGTATTAAAGTTATCGTATTTAGCTGTTTCAACAAATAAATCTGTAACTATATTTTCCTATAGACCAATTAATATTGTAAAGTTTACATTATTAAAGGTATGGTATAATTTGTTTTTTTATTTTTTTTATTTGTAGGGTGTTGTGAAGCCGAGTAGAGAATTGGGAATAAATTTAAACAATTTCTTTATTTTGAAGTAGCAGGTGTGTTCCAGATAGAGTTGTGGTGCAGAATGAAATGTATCACTGCAAAAAACATTCGCCATGTGATTACAAACATATTCACAAATACACACTTATACATTATAATGTAATAATTTATTTGCTAATACCTGTTAATGTTTTTACACATATTGACAATAGCAGATATCATAGATATCATGTTGTTAATGCACAGTAGCCCTGTGCTTATTTATTGTTAAGGATACTGTAGGCCTAATTTTACTGCAATATGCATACTATTGTATATGAATTAAAGATTATTTTGTAAATAAAATTGATGTTAATATAATAAAATTAAATGATCCAAACGAATATGGAATTATCAAAGGGTGGGTCATCTAAGATTCTTCCTGCGGCTGGGCCCCACTTTGTCTGGGTTGTAATCCCATATGGTAGATTAATTTAGCTGTCACCTAGACTCAAGGCTCGACCATGTTGATAACCTTCAGAGGCTTCATCATCAGCTATTATCGGTCCACTGCTGGACAAATGTTTCAAGATGTCGACGCCAAAACAATCTTTTTCTCTTGCTGTGTTGCACCATTTCACTCTTCCCCAATAAATATTAATCTCATCTCTTATCTTTTACGTTGTTTTCCCTTGTTCGTTTTGCCATCCATGAGGCCTGTTACTGTTCGTATTTGGTTGTACTCTTGCTGACTAAAATTCAACAACCAGAATGAAAACCACTGAGCCAAACCGCATTTTTACCATTATTGTTATTAATAATAATAATATTAATTTTAATATTATTTTATCTATTTGTATTCATTCCCCACCCCCACTAGCTTGGCTTGGCCTTTCTACTACTGCCGCCAGTGTGTGGCTATTTTTTATGGGTCGATAAAACATGGGTACCGTACGATATCTTGATAATAGTAGCCTAACCCTAACCCGCTTCAGCGTAAGGAACCATATTTTTTCGACATTAAATTGTGGAATTTAATACCCTGGCTCTACTACTTGGCTAGTAGTAGGCCCTAGGTTGTGTCATCAGTTTCTGCAGTTATTTTTTAAGGGATTGTCAATGTATAGGGGTCTATGTACGTAGGTACGACGATAGAGCCTAATATACTTTTTTTTGGCGATAATTTTATTACAATTCCCCCGGATGAACACTGATGAACTGGCTGTAAGATAGCCAAAATAGAGGCTTTCGAACCGCTCAAGTTCACATTATTTTCCATCCATAACATATAGTTTTCCAGTTTCTATTTCATACCCTCTTTGTAGCCGCTGTTTGGTTCCTAAGACGATTTTTTGGCAATCATACCCTCTTTGCAGCCGCTATTTGGTTCCTGAGACATCTTCCCAGCCGCTATTTGGTTCCTGAGACGTCTTTTTGGTAACTGCACATGCTCGACATGGCTCGATAACGTCACTTACTCAATGCACATGCTCACTGGCTGTCTAGCATTTCCAAGCATGCTCACTGTGTTTTTATAGATAATTCACAGACATTATTTGGTAACTACTCATGCGCATTCCTTAGTTCGGAATACCCATTTTTTCATAGTAAAAGCTACCACTACCTACAGGTAAAGTTTCTTAAAAACTATTGCCTCTTGACTGTTACAGCCTAAAGGTGCGCGCGCGAAAAAAGTTTTGCCCATTATGTACTGTAAGAATGCTACGTGTCAAAGCACTGTTGTTGTTATGAACAGTAAGCTACTGTATATCATTAGAATACATTATCAGTATCTAAAGATAATAATACAATGAAGATAAGAACTAATAGTTGATTGTAGTTGAAGAGCCTCCATGAAGGTCTCCACCTCCTTGGTAAACTGCACTTACAGGATATTTTTTTTTTTGTAAAGTATACACAAATGATATAAAGAAAGATCGATTGACTGAATGAACATATCAGCTTTCTATCTTTTCTTGATCCAACATTGATTGGGCTGCATGCCAAGTTGTGCTTAATCACCAATTTACCAGTGGGGATCAAACAACTACGAAACAGACAGTACTAGCCACCTGGGGGTATATCATAATGTTTTAGCTGGTGGTAATATATAGGCACAGAGCCAAACAAGGAAAATGTTTGCACAATCGTTACAAAAATCACATTCTTATTTTCTTTTAGAAAATGATATATACTAACTATATTTTTTAACTACTTATAATAAGCAAAAAGATTAATACTGTATTAATTTATAAATTAATGTTGATCTTTTGTCAAGAGTATTTGAGTATCATTAATTAATTACTAATAAATAATTAATACATTTATTGGACATGGATAAAACCTTTAATATTATTTTCTGTTATTTTTTTGTTGCTGTTTAATGTACTAATATACATGAGCCATATGTTTTCCAGTAATGTATCAATTCCCCTTATGCTATTAAATTAATTTTAATTGGACTACCCTCATCCAAGAAAAACAGTATGTTATACTGTACCTTATCGTCAATAAATTACTAATTTGTATCGAAAAATATGGCCTAAATAATCATTATTATAGTTTGGTAATTACTAAATTTGGACTCAACTATTAATATATCTGTTATTTTTTTGTAGCTTTTTTAAATGTACTATTCAAGAACCACATGTTTCATAGTTATGAATTTATTCCTATGTTAATGTTATCAAATTCATTTTAATCAGACTACCTTCAGTATGTTACACCTTAGGCGAGAATTTTTATATACCTTGTTCAGCGAACCCGCCGACTGCAAATATTGATGATTTCGAATAAAAATACAATTATTTCGAATAAAAATATTTTTGGCCAATTAGCACACCCCGGCTGCCACGAAAAAATGAAAATTTCAGAAAAAAACAAAAGTTTTTTGCTTTATTTTGATTACGCCTTCCGCTACCTTGAAATCTCCAAAGATAAGTATATTTCTTCCTAATTGTAAAAACTTAAAGCATTTAACCATTTATTTTACATTCACCAATAAAATTTTATTTTTATTTTCTCCTCCATTTAGATGTTTTTGGCAAAACTTTTTGCTAAATAAGAGAACAAAATTTAATTTTCATTTTTATTCCGCCCTCCTCCGATGATCTTTAAAAAAATAAGTACGCCAAACAAGGAATAAAAAAAAACTCTAGCCTTAATGTCAATAAATATTTATTACTAATGTGTATCTAAAAAAATAAGAAGGCAAACACAATCATTATTATTGTACTCTGATATTAATAAATGTGGTTAATTGGGCATGGACTACCATTTTAACTACAAATACTAGATGGTGTGTTACGGTTGGTAAATAAGCATAGAATTCGGCCTAGACTGCTTTAGGCAACACACTTTTCTTTGGCTAGTGTTCTTGGTACACAATATGACAAACTAAACAATACAATGATACTACAATCAAAGGGTGATGTTTGACAATTTGACTAATAGTCCAACATATAGGCCTTACTG